GAGCTCCACTGGATCATTCCCACCTACACCCCAGCCCTAAACCCTAAACCCTAAACCCTAAACCCTAAACCCTAAACCCTAAACCCTAAACCCTTTACCTTCTTTTATCACAGAAAGGTTCCACCTAAAGACAGCTTCTTTCTTCAGCTCTTCGCAGCTCCACTGGATCATTTGGACCCACGGGTAAAAGGCGTCTTGGAGTCCTCCTAAGAAATAAATAAATAAATAATAAATAAATAAATAAATAAATAAATAAATAAATAAATAAATAAATAAATAAATAAATAAATAAATAAATAAATGAAAAAAATTAAAATTGGAGAAGAAGGAGTGGAGATAATTGGCGGCGGGGAGAGGGGCTTGGCTCGCTGGGCTGCTGCTGCTGCTGCTGCTGCTGCTGTTTTATTTCCCGTGCTGCTGCTGCTGCTGCTGCTGCTGCTGCTGCTTGTGTTACGGCTGCTTCTCTTTCGGTGGCTGCTGCTGCGTCTGCTTATTTTCTGTATCTGCGTTTTCTAATTCGCTTTATCCTGCTGCTGTCACCGCTGCTCTTGCTGCTGCTGCTGCTGCTGCTGCTGCTGTTGCTGCTGCTGCTGCTGCTGCTGCTGCTGCTGCTGCTCACCATCTGCGAGGTCGATTTCTCGGGCCTCCTTTCGGGCCTCCCTGCCGACGATGGCCCCCATGAGTTGGGGTGTACATACACCTCAGATAGTCCCCTAGAGAAGGTGCTGCGCTGCAGCAAATGTCTGCAGCACGTTTTGCTGCTGCTGCTGCTGCTGCTGCTGTCCTGGCGGTCCCGCTGCTGCAGCTCTCGCAGCAGCTGCGCCTCTTGCTGCCGCTGTTGCCGGCCCTGCTGCGTTTGCTGTGAAAGAGAAAGTCAAAGAACTTGCAGCAGCAGCGGGATCAGCAGCAGCAGCAGCAGGATCAGAGGCAAGATCCGCAGCAGCAGCAGCAGCAGCAGCAGCAGCAGCAGCACTCGGGGCCGTCTGCTGCGTATATGTGGGGCCCCTGACTGCGACAGCCCTCAAACAGGCCACCAGTGAGTGCTGCTTCTTATTTGTCTTGGTTTTGCTGTAGGCGAAGATCCAGCTGCAGCAGCAGCAGCAGCAACAGCTGCAGCAGCAGCAACAGCTGCAGCAGCTGCAGCAGCAGCAGCAGCAGACCGCAACAGGGTGTCTCGGCTGCTGCCTCTTTCGTTGTGTCCTCGAAAATAATTTGAAGACTTATTTCAAAGTTGCAGGAGAAGCGAGAGTAGCAGCAGCAACCTCCAGGGCCCCAAACCCTAAACCCTAAACCCTAAACCCTAAACCCTAAGGCTAGACCCTCCTCAAGCCCGGGGGCCCCTGCAGCCGGCCCGGAAACTCGCGGCTTTGCTTCTGTCTTTTCTTTTTATTAAATAAAAACAAATTTATAAATTAAAAATAATTATTTAATTCTTTAAAGAAATACTTTTTGCTTTCTAAACCCTCAAAACCCTCATCTGCAGCCGCGAGGGCTTGGGGCCCCCTCCACGCTAAACCCTCAGCGCTGAGCCCAAACCCTAAACCCTAAACCCTAGAGCCAAGGCCCTGGCTCTAAACCCTCGGCCCTAAACCCTAAACCCTAGCGCCTGAGCGGCAGCGACTACAGCCAAACCGTCGCCGCAGAACCCCAAACCCTAAACCCCAAACCCTAAACCCTAACCTGCTGCGCAAACCCCAAGCCCTGCCTTGCTGCCATGAGGTAGGGGGCCCCCAGAGGCCCCCGGGGGGCCCCCCTTGCTGCTGCTGCTGCTGCTGCTGCTGCTGCTGCTGTGGGCAGCAGAGAATGGCTCTCCATCCCTTCATGCCAATGTCTCGGCGGCAGCAGCAGCAGCAGCTCCTGGTGCTGCTGCTGTTGCTGCTGCTGCTGCTTCCTGCTGCTGCAGCAAGGCGGGGACAGGGCTGCGCAGGGGGCCCCCAGCTTTGCTTCCTAAGCAGCAACCTGCTGCTGCTGGGGGCCCCCATGGGGGCCCCCATGGGGGGCCCCCGGGGGGCCCCCCACCCCCACTGGGGGGCCCCCATTCGACAGTGTGAATTCGATAGAGGGTCCAGCAGCAGCAGCAGCAGCAGCAGCAGCAGCAGCAGCAAACTGCTGCATGCAGCAGCAGGAACCCCGGAAGGAGATGTAGGTCCGTTGGATGGAGGAGAGGCCAGCAGCAGCAGCAGCGGCTGCAACAGCAGCAGCTGCAGCAGCAGCAACGGCAGCAGCAGCAACTGCAGCAGCAACGGCAACAGCAGTGCACAGCCCCAAACAGAGTTGGAAGCTCCTCAGCAGCAGCAGCAGCAGCAGCAGCAGCAGCCGTCGGAGTCTGCTGAAGTGCCCTCAGAGCAGCAGCAAGACGCAGCAGCAGCAGCAGCAGCAGCAGCAGCAGCAGAAAGCGCTGCTGCTGACTACGACCCGATAGCAGCAAAAGAAGCTGCGTCTCTGGAAGCAGCAGCAGCAGCAGCAGGTGTCTCCTTGTCTGCTGTCCATTCGCTGCTGCAGCTTCACCGCCTTTCCTTTTCCACCTTTCTGACCCCAAAGAGCAGCAGCAGCAGCAGCAGCAGCAGCAGCAGCAGCAGCAGCAGCAGCAGCAGCAGCAGCAGCAGCAGCAGCAGCAGCGGCGAGGAGCCCTCGCTGCTGTCGCTGTGCGTGCCTTCTGCTGCTGAGTTCATGAAGGGCCAGGCGCTGCTGCAGCCTGCTGCTTGTGCTGCAGCAGCAAATTATCAGCAGCAGCAGCAAAAAAGAAAAAGAGACAGAGAGAGACACATGCAGTGGCGTCGTGCTGCTGCTGCTGCGCTGCAGCAGCGGCTGCGGGTTTCGATGGCAGCTTTTGCTGCTGAGGAAGACCGCTTTGCGCCGTACGACCCCGTTGCTGCTGCTGCAGCAGCGAGGCAGCAGCAGCAGCAGCAGCAGCAGCAGCAGCGGCTGCTGCTGCGGAAGCAAAAAATGTGGTGGATCCCCACCAGAACTATTAAGGCCAGAAGGGCGAGGCGAGCAGCAGCAAAGCGGCTGAAGCAGAAGCTGCTGCTGCAGCAGGCAGCAGCAGCACGCAGGCTCCGCAAGCAGCAGCAGCAGCAGCAGGGAGAGGACCCAGCAGCAGCAGCAGCAGCAGCAGCAGCAATGCGCGCAGAGGACCTGACGCAGCAGCAAAAGGAAGCAATTATTATGCAGCGGCTGCAGCACCAAAGGGCTGTATTGGGCCTGAGGCCCCTGGGGGCCCCCGGGGGGCCCCCCGGAACCCCAGCAGCAGCAGCAGCAGCAGCAGCAGCAGCAGCAGCAGAAGCAGCAGCAGCAGACTTTTACGTCAAAGAGTCCGTGCGCATTGCTGACGCCTTTCACAAAATCACAGATGAGTAAGAACGATCCCAGGAGACGATCCCAGGATATTGTTTTTAATTTTAAGTTTTCTCTCCAGCAGCAGCTGCAGCAGCAGCTGCAGCAGCAGCTGCAGCAGCAGCTGCAGCAGCAGCTGTAGCAGCTGCTGCAGCAGCAGCTGCAGCAGCAGCTGCAGCAGCAGCTGCAGCAGCAGCTGTAGCAGATGCTGCAGCAGCAGCTGCTGCAGCAGCTGCTGCAGCAGCTGCTGCAGCTGGTGGAGCTTTCTTGTTTGGTCCCGCCTTTACTAGTGCTGCTGCTTTTGCTTCTGCAGCTGCTGCTGCTGCTGCAACTTCCCTGCTGCTGCTGCTGCTGCTGCCGCTGTTTCTTGAGTCTCGTTGCTGCTGCTGTTGCTTCTATCTGTGCACTGCTGCTGCCACTGTCGCTGCTGCTGCTGCTGCCACTGTCGCTGCTGCTGCTGCCACTGCCGCTGCTGCTGCCGCCGCCGCTGCTGCTGCTGCTGCCACCGTCGCTGCTGCTGCCACCGCCGCTGCTGCTGCCACCGCCGCCGCTGCTGCTGCTGCTGCTGCCACCGCTGCTGCTGCTGCTGCTGCTGCTGCTGCAGCATGGAGCGCGCGAGCGTCGCTGTGTACGGAGAGCTGCTGGCAATTGAAGAAGACAAAAGTTTGTCTTTTGAAGAAAAAGAAAAAAAGTCTTTAAAGCCTCGCCAAAGACTTCGGCAGCTGCAGCAGCCCTTCGTGCTGCAGCAGCTGCCCCTCCTCTACCGCGCGCACCTCCTCATGGGTCTGCTGCTGCTGCTGCTGCTGCTGCTGCTGCTGCTGCTGCTGGGGTTGCTGCTGCTCCTGCTGCTGCTGCTGCTGCCGGGGTTGCTGCTGCTGCTGGGGTTGCTCCTGCTGCTGCTGCTCGGGTTGCTCCTGCTGCTGCTGCTGCTGCTCGGGTTGCTGCTGCTGCTCGGGTTGCTGCTGCTGCTGGGGTTGCTGCTGCTGCTGCTGCGGTGTTGCTGCTGCAGTGCGCAGTGCTAGCCAGTCTTGACTCTGCGTCGTCTGTGTCGCTTCAAGCGAAGCCGTCGCCTTCAGGGCTTAGGGTTTAGGGTTTAGGGTTTAGGGTTTAGGGTTTAGGGTTTAGGGTTTAGGGTTTGCGCGTGCAGGCCTGCCGGGGCCTCCTTCCTACACACACCTAAACCCTTTGCTGCCAGCAGACGCCCAAGACCCCCCTGAGGCCCCGGGGCCCTTTGTGGGGCCCCCGAGGCCCCTTAGTTGCTGCTGGAAGTCTCCAGTGGCTGATTTCCCAGTAGTTCCCTTTTACTCAAACCCTCAGCAGCAGCAGCAGCAGCAGCAGCAGCAGCAGCAGCTGCAGCAGGTGCCGTTTGTGCGGGGCCACCGACCCCCGCTGCAGGCCCCGAAGCCGTCGGACCTGCCGCGGTCGCGCTGCGGAGCTGCAGCAGCAGCAGCAGCAGCAGCAGCAGCAAGCATTGCAGCGCAGCAGCACCTCCCGCCCCCTCCCCCAGAGCTGCCGCAGCAGCAGCAGCCCACTGAGGCCATTGTGTGGGACATGCGCGTCAGAAAGTGGTGGCGGGGGGCCTTTTACAGGCAGCAGCACCGGCAGCTGCAGCAGCAAGAGCAGCAGCAGCAGCAGCCAGAGCAGCAGCAGCAGCAGCAGCAGCAAGAGCAGCAGCAGCAGCGGCAAGAGCAGCAGCAGCAGCAAGAGCAGCAGCAGCAGCAAGAGCAGCAGCAGCAGCAAGAACAGCAGCAACAGTCAACGAGCAGCAGCAACGCCGACGCCTCCGACAGCAGCGAGAGCAGCAGCAGCAGCAGCAGCAGCAGCAGCGGCAGCAGCAGCAGCAAGGAGACGCAAGGGGAGGAAGGGTGTGGGGCCCCACAGTCTTTAGCCGAGCAGCAGCAGATTATTTACGGCCGCAAAATCGCCAAGGCAATAAACTCTAACGAAGGCGCAACACACGAGTGGAAGGTGCCCTTGCTGCTGCTGCTGCTGCTGCTGCTGCTGCTGCTGCTGCTATTAGTGTTGCTGCTGCTGCTGTTGTTAGCGTTGTTCGTGGTGCTGCTGTTAGTGCTGCTGTTGCTGCTGCTGCTGCTGCTGCCGACGCCGTTGGCGCTGCTGGTGTTCCTCGCGCCCCCTGCCGCTGCCGCTGCAGCCGCTGCTGCTGCTGCTGCTGCTGCTGCTGCTGCTGCTGCTGCAGTTCACGCAGCTGGGCGCGGGGCGGCGAGTGGGCGAGTTTGTCTTTGGACCTGACAAGTTGCTGCCAGCAAAACAAAAAAGCAAAAGAAGACTCGGAAGAGGAGACGGCAGCAGCAAAGGGGGTTCTGCGGGCCGCGGCTGCAAGGGGCAGAAGGCGCGCAGCGGCAGCAGCAAAAGGATCGGTGAGCTGCTGCTGCTGCTGCTGCTGCTGCTGCTGCTGCTGCTGCTGGGGGGGGTGAGGGGGACTCTGTGCAGGAAGCAAAAGCTGGGGGGTCAAAAGAAATAATAGGAAGGTTTTGGGGAGCGGCGATGCAGCGCAGGAGGCGCAGCAGCAAAAACAATCGTCACTTTCGTTTTGCTGCTGCTGCTGCTGCAGCTGCTGCTGCAGCTGCTGCTGCAGCTGCTGCTGCTGCTGCTGCAGCTGCTGCTGCTGCTGCTGCTCGTTATACATGCATACGTGGGTGTGCTATGTATGTGGTTTAAAACAGATGCACAGAACTGCTTCACCAATCTGCTGCTGCTGCTGCTGCTTCTTGTGCCGCTGTTTGTGCTGCTGCTGCTGCTGCGTGTGCTGCTGCTGCTGCTGCTGCTGCTGCTGCTGCTCAGGGTTCGAGGGAGGGCAAATGCCGCTGTACCGGCGGCTGCCGAAGTTTGTGGGGCGGCAGCTGGGCCCTGGACATCAGCAGCAATACAGGCAGCAGCAGCAGCAGCTGCTGCCGCTGCATAAGTTGAATTGCTGCAGCGAAGGAGAAACTGTTGACTGGCAGCAGCTGCTGCTCAAGGGGGTTTTCCTTGGCAAATACAAAAGGGATTGCCCTGTGAAGGTAAACTCTGCTGCTGCTGCTGCTGCTGCTGCTGCTGCTTGTTTTGCTGCTGCTGCTGCTGCTTGTGTTGCTGCTGCTGCTCCTGCTGCTGCTTGTGTCGCTGCTGCTGCTGAGACTGCTGCTGCTTGTGTCGTTGCTGTTGCTGCTGAGGGTGCTGCTGATTCTGCCCCGGCTCGGGGTGCTGTTTACTATTGCTGCTGCTGCTGCTGCTGCTGCTGCTGCTGCTGCTAATGATGCCGGCATAAAGGTTTCTGGTGGCTGTGATGAGAGTGCTGCTGCTGCTGCTATGTGAGGGCTCTCAGTTTTGGCGCTGCTGCTGCTTTTGCTGCACTTTCTGGTTGCTGCTGCTGCATCTTTTGTTGCTGCTGCGCTTTCGCTGCTGCTGCACTGTTGCTGCTGCTGCTGCTGCTGCTGCTATGTAAGCGCCGCTGCGGCTCCTAGTCTCCGCGCTGCTGCTGCTGCCACTGGCTTCCTGGTTGCTGCTGCGGCACCTTTGCTGCTGCTGCACTTTTGCTGCTGCTGTACTTTTGCTGCTGCTGCTGCTGCTAGGTTGTGGGGCCCCCCTTGAGCCGCAAACGGCTCGGGCCAGATGGAGATGGGACCCTAAAGGTCAGAAATCTGACAGTCAAAGTAAGTCTTTTCAAGGGTTTAGGGTTTAGGGTTTAGGGTTTAGGGTTTAGGGTTTAGCAGCAACTAGGCTGTTTGCTGGTGTGCCTGTGATTGTTCTTTTTTGGGGCTGTAGCTCTTCTGTGCTTAGGGTTTAGGGTTTAGGGTTTAGGGTTTGGGGCTTGGCGCTGGGGTCTCGATTTGTTCCGTTGGCCCGGGCTTTGTCTTTAGGGTTTAGGGTTTAGGGTTTAGGGTTTGCTACTTTTTTGTTTTGGGTTCATTTATTTATATTTCTTTTGCCTGCGGCTGTTTTGCTTTAGTGTTGCGTTAGAGTTTGCTGCTGTTGCTGCTGCTGCAGCTATTGCGCCTGCTGTTTCTTTTGCAGCTCTTGCTGCTGCTGCTGCTGCTGCAGTGGTCAATGTAGCGGTTGCTGCAGTGATCAGTGTTCTTGCTGCTGCTGCTGCTGCTGCTGCTGCTGCTGCACGAGCTGCAGTTTCTCTGCCTTCGCTGCTGCGTCGAGCCGCTGTTGCTGCTCCCGCGG